ATACTTTGTTATTCTTTATGCTAAAGGATCAAATATTGTATCACAGGCTTGGTATAAAAACTGTACTTCTGCACAATAAAGAAATTATCCTTAGTGTCATCTCTACCAGCAACTACATATATATATAACAAAGAAATTTATATTGTTTCATATGCACATTAAGTGATGTTATCAAATTCAGAACCAATACATTTCTCCAGCAAAAAACAGGGCAAAATAGGCAGGTGTGCTTTTTACTGGACATTTATATACTACATACACAATATGTTGACATTTTTTCTGAAACTGCAGTAACTTTGGGTGAGCTTATTACTAGACATGGGCTTATTGCCAGATATATAAAATAGGATCCTTGTAATATTATTATAAGCCCGTGGTTACACGTGTTGTCAGCTCGATAACTTGAGTAGTTTTTAAGGGATCAATTTCAAACTTCATGGGAAGACTCATTACCATAAGTTGGACAACTTAGATCATCGTAATTTTCGAATTATAATCCATGGAGTTATGTTTCCTTATTCAATTACCGAATCAGTGTCCATCTATATAGCAAGTAGTTTCCAATGGATCAGCTGCATATTGATAGAAAGGTTCAATGCCATGACAGCATGGACAAATTAGATCACCGTAATTTTCAGATAGTAATTCATGGAGTTAGGCCCTTTATTCAATACCAAAACAGTGTCTGCACCATATCATTAATAGCTATGACCAGACCAACTTCAGTCTTTATAGGTAGGTTCATTACCATGATTGCTCAAATAGCATCGAACACTGTAACTTTTGGACAGTAATTCACAGAGTTATAGCCCCTTATCCAATATCTTAAAGTGTCCACTCGATATCACAATTAGTTTTCAACAGATCAACTTCAAACTTCATAAGAAGATTAGTTAACATGCAAGCTCATAAAGATTTGATGATCGCCATTTTTGGACCAAAATTTAAGGAGTTATGGTCAATTATTCAATTATCGAAACTGTTCAATATCTTAATTAGTTTTCTCCAGATCAACTTCCATCGTGATAGGAAGGTTCATAATCACTCAGACAAGTTGGATGATTGCATTTTTCTGACTGTAATTCATGGAGTTATGGCCCTTGTAGATCAGACATCTGTTGCAAAATGCTACTTCAACCTATGACGGGTGTATCATGTTCTGCCTCATGGAACTCAGTTTTGGTTTTAGTTACAAAATATTTTACAAAGTAGACAAATCGTAATCTATTCAGCCATAAAATGTATGAATGATGTTATCATTATAAAGGTACATGTATTAAAACATAAACAATTTTTCTTCTAAATTTTGTTGTTATGCTTTGCCTGCATCCTTGTCAATAATATACTTCAGATAATGAATAAATCTCATTTGATTTCCTTTAGTGATAGATCACTATTATGAAACCAGTATAGGCACATTTGGCTTTTTATTTTAAGTGTCTTTTCAAAAGGACATCTTTAGATGTGTGTGTGTATTAAAATGATACTTGTTTGTAAGGCGAGTTTATGTGTATATGCGCTATCAATTGAAATGTCACAGTGACCTTTGTGCTGGTGTAATTTGTGAAATATTTGAATTAGGATGGGTACAAATAGTGTTGCTTGCTTCATTACTGTTAGACAGAAGATGCATTTTAGTTTGATATACAACATGTGAATTCTGTCCCAAGATGGATACAAATATGCAACTTAGGTAAATATTTAAGTGCTTTGTATTTGTGTATGCATGCTTATAGATAATGAACTTTGGTTATTGTTTGTATGCAAATGAATAAATGAGACATATTTCCATAGAAATGTATTTACTGGCTTTAGACTTTACCTGCTAAACTTGAAAATGTAAATTAACTATGATATGTGTTTAAGTATGAGCACACTCTTGCATGTATGTTTGTTGTCTCAAGTAGTATAATTTAGATATATATGACATGTTGTGATAATGTAGAAGTAAATCTATGATATTCAGGGAGGAGATGGGGCCACATGTAACCTAGACTTGAAGTAGGGAGGTGGGTTTATCATAGGGAATTTTACACTCTATGATATTCAGGGAGGAGGTGGGGTCACATGTAACCTAGACTTGAAGTAGGGAGGTGGGTTTATCATAGGGAATTTTACACTCTATGATATTCAGGGAGGAGGTGGGGTCACATGTAACCTAGACTCAAGTAGGGAGATGGGTTTATCATAGGGAAGTGTATACTCTATGGTAATCAGGGAGAAGGTGGGGGTCACATGTAACCTAGACTCAAAGAACAAAGTGGGGCATATCACAGGGAAGTTTACACTCACATTTCTTACATCATTGATAAAACTACAGTAGATGTATGTGGTTTTCATGCCAAATGTTGCCTAATTATTGGATATTAAGTACACATGTTATGGTATTGGGCTGAACACAAATGTAACTCTCTGATAACGAAATGTTTGTGCTTGAGGACACTAAAGTTTGGCATTTTTTGCTCAAAATGGAATGGATCAATTTTGATGTGTCAAATTTTGGTAGTTATCCATCCTTTGTGTTAAATTTTGGCACTTGTAGTTATATAATTGAGCTGTTAGTTTATTGTGCTTATGATAGGTTGTTACATATCAATTTCCAATTTTAGATAAGTAAATCCATACAAACATAAAGTATCCCAGTAACCCAGATACAGCTGTAATACACAGTAGAGAGGAAGTTGAAGACAAGAGGACCTGATAAAAAATTCAATTAAAATATGGTTTGTCACTGGTTTTAACAAAAAAATCTAAAAATAGATTTGGAAGTCATGCCATGTACATAGATGTACACATTGTTGAAAAGCTTGTGGCAAATTGACAGGATTTGATCATTGATAGCCTTTAATTGAAAAGGTTTTTATTGAGAACTTAGCAGTGTTATATAAACTAAGCTTCCATAAAGTCTTTGTATTTTTGTCTCACCTGGCTGTACAGGAAAAACATAAGTCACTGCTATACTTACCTTGTATATATATCGATCAATAGACTTACACTTGAGCACTGATATAACAATGAATATTATAAAATAGGAAATTTTATGACATATAGTTGAAAACATACCAGTATTGATGCATGATTTATCAAGTGTTTTAGACTTGATCCAAAGTTATAATATTCCAGCACAAATAACAAGTTAGTAATTAGTATGAGGAGGGAATTTGACACTAACAGTTGACACATTTTTACTGGACGTCTAAACCAGGAAGTTATACAATGTTGTTGCAACAACTTCTTCCATGAAATTTTGGAGTGTTTAATTTTGGTTCATTCACCAAAGTGGCAAAATGAACCAAAAAATCAAAATATCCCAAAGTTTAGTAGCTTGCTTATAACAAAAGAAATGATATGTACATACCTGGTATATGGGACAAGTTTTGGGGGTAAGTTGTCTGATCTGAGACCCATTCAACCACTTCAAAAATAATTTTTCTTTGTATGTACACTTGTATTTTTAACAAAGTCATTTTTTTAATTCTACCTAAACATACTTATATTTTCTTCTTTTCTCTGGGTTGGACACTGATTTTATTTCTAAATTCATGCATATATGGTCATCAGCTATCATACACACTCCACTGAGATTTTCATCCGTTAGAGGTATATTTGTTCTTACCTGGATAACTTAGACCATGAGTTTATATTTAGATTAAAATACATACTGTACATATTATACCCAAACTCCACACTGCACTGGTGTAAGGTGTTGGCTGGTTGAAACACCAGAATACACCAATATGACACTTTACACTCAGAGGGACTATTTCAGAGTACCACAACACTTGACACATAATGAGTTTATAGTAATTATCCTGTTTCATCAGCGGTCCAGTACCAGTACAGTTTACAGGTCAGGATACTTTTAAAATGTTACACTCTGTATTGCTGTCATACATGGGTTGCTCTAGTGTTTGTAGGGTTTATCACATGTCACATTTATACACAAGTTTACATGTAGTCAATATTTACCTAACGTTCCTTGTGAAAACCTCAAACTGCAGTGTTTAGTTTTAGAGTTTTCTCATTTTTTTTCCTGCAGTATTTAAGTAATACATGATTTGAGATATAAACACCGGGTAGACATTTCATGTATCAGTTTTCCCAGGACCTAACACTGTGTGAGAAGTTTTTATGAAACCTTACATGTTAGAAACAGGAAGTTAAAAACTTTTTATTTTGCTTGATATAACTTCATATAAAGTTTGTTGTATAATGTATGTCAGTCATTTCTGTTTTTACTGGATTGGACATCAGTTGTTGAGGAATACTGTCCCTAACAGTAAGTGTATAATCTTCAGTCAGCTACCTGAAAGTGTATGTGACTGAGATGTTTGATAAATTTTTTCAGATTTCTGATCCACTGTTAATCCAAAATCTGTATATGTGAAGTAAAGTTTATGTCATTCAAGTTAGAACATATACAGAATCTGTTTTCCACTTACAAATAAATGTAGTTAGAATACACTAATTGTCCGATTCAATTCATCAAAGAAATTACTAAACAAAAAATTGTTATAGCGTGACGCAATAATCCATTTTGCTTTAGCAGTATGCAATGTCAACCCATATTATGGGATAATTTTATTATATTAAGAAAGACATATGGACACTTGTGTGAAAATCAGTTTATCACTTGAGAAAACAAATCAGATCTGTTAAGTTACTTTTCTTGAACAAGTGAAAGATTTTAAAAAGGCAATACATGTTTTATTGTTGAACATTCAGGTGAATTCTGCATGTGATAAAACAGGGTGGGCTTATAACAAGATATTAGAATAGAATTAGTTTGATTAATAATTTTACTGAACAACATTAAATATAGGTGAGCTTAAGACCAGTCATTGGCTTCTTGATAGATAAATATATCACCTGGTCTAACATATTATACATTGTCAGATTCACCAATATCAAACCCTCTAAATTTTAACTTTTGTAGATGACGTGACCAGTGCCTTATGCATCACATAAGTCCTGTGAGGAGGACCCACTGCTGACTGGCCATGGAGAATATTATCAAGCAGGGCTACCTGAAGAAGGCCAAGCCTATCGCAGCAGACAGTCCACGCTCCAGCCTTTGCTCAAGTCTCCTTCAGGTAGAACTTGTACCAAATTCAAGAAAACCAAGAACCATTTAAGCGGGTTGACAATTTGGATGAGAAATATTCATTTTTGATATAAAGATGAACCTACTGATCTTATTTGCTTTCTATAACAAGCCTTGATGCAGTATTTTTGGGTCTGTGCATACAAACCTTTGCACGGCCGCCCCAACTTATTCCAGATATGCAGCCCAGATATTCTCCCATCATTCACCGATTAGTTTTCCATTATAAAACCACTAATTTTTGTGGGGATATTGTATTTAATTAATACTTAATGTTCATTGAAGAATATGTCAACAAAATCATAAACTGTTAAAACTGACATTAATTTTATCTCTGTTGAATTTAGTGAGAGCTGTTTATCCATCAAGTGCCAACTAAGCAGTGATCATTTTGGAAAACAAAAAATGGAAATATCTGATTGTACACCTGTAACACTAGTACCAATTTATAGCTAGTTCAGACTAGTCAGGTGACCAGTACATGCTTCCTAGTTCTTTTACACGTCCAAGGGTAAACAAAAGCTATACAGCTGTCATTGCAGTGGTAAAAATTGTAGCAAATGGCTGGCATCCAGTATCTTGCCTAGAATACCATTGGGCCATGTTGCTTTTTAAAACTTCAAGTATTTTGTAACGAACAGCATCAGAATGCTGTTCACTTGAGACCTATTAAGTTTTGCAAATTCTCCAATACTCTAGAAAATCAAAAATCAAACATTTTTTGTTGGTTTTGTTTTTTTAGCTTTTTGAATCAAGTCGATGGTACATGTTCATTGTGAGAAATGGCCGACCATTCCTGGAAATTTATGAGAAGGAGCAGAGCGCATTCTCAGGGCAACCTATGACATCATATGAACTAAGCTCATGCTACAAAATTACATACACCCTCGGAAGAACGAGTAAAGCTTGGACCTTCTGTTTGTTTCTAGAAGAACGGGTCTTGGAAATAACTGCAGAATCAAGGTATCAGTCAAGATGAAATAAAAATTTACCTGTCAGGCTTCTAGCTCAGGGCAAGAGTTTTTTTACAATTCAATACAGTCTATTTTCCAAATCTCTTAATAGATTTATTTTTTGTTTTACATTTAGATTGAATTAGAATTAATTTCTAATTTTGCATTATAACCTTCTACTATTAGTTGCTGAGTGTATTAATCATGCCAAATTCTGTCAGTAGATACTCCATCCTCAGGTAAAGATCTGTTATGTGTGGTTCAAGAATCCCATCCTCAGGTAAAGATCTGAGGTATGGGGTTCAAGGATCCCATCCCCAGGTGAAGATCTGTGGTGTGGGGTTCGAGGATCCCATCCTCAGGTGAAGATCTGTTGTGTGGGGTTCAAGGATCCCATCCCCAGGTGAAGATCTGTTGTGTGGGGTTCAAGGATCCCATCCCCAGGTGAAGATCTGTGGTGTGGGGTTCAAGGATCCCATCCCCAGGTAAAGATCTGTGGTGTGGGGCTCAAGGATCCTATCCTCAGGTAAAGATCTGTGGTTCTGAGTTCAAGGATCCCATCCCCAGGTAAAGATCTGTTGTGTGGGGTTTGAGGATCCCATCCCCGGGTAAAGATCTGTGGTGTGGGGTTCAAGGATCCCATCCTCAGGTGAAGATCTGTTGTGTGGGGTTCAAGGATCTCATCCCCAGGTGAAGATCTGAGGTATGGGGTTCGGATCCTCCAGGTGAAGATCTGAGGTATGGGGTTCGGATCCTCCAGGTGAAGACCTGAGGTATGGGGTTCAAGGATCCCATCCTCAGGTTAATATTTGTAGTTGATCGCTTCCTTGGGCAAGACACTATAAATTGATTAAACAACTAAGTCACAGTCAGTTTAAGATTTTTCCAGCTATATCAAATGTTTTGTAATATTGCAGGGACCAGATGTTGGATTGGTGCCGAAATTTAGAAAGGACTTTGGTGCATTATGGAAAAATTGTAAGTTATTGGAAGAGGAGAATTTCTCATTGACTCAGTTGCACATTGAACAAATATACATATATCTATTAAAAATACCCTAGCTGTCAAGACATTTAAAAGGGAATCTTTGTATTTGATTCAAAAATACAAATGTACAGTATTTTGAAATGTCAGTACATCAGCTTATGTCATTATGAGGAGCCTTAGATTGCACTCTGTTGAATTTTCATTTGAATTTTACTACAATCCATAGCAGTTTAAAGAACTTTGACATTTAGTGAAATCTTCTATAGAACAATTAAGGAATCTTTGATATTATGAGAATAATAAAGACTAGAAAATAATGAAGGAAAAACACCAAAGTTTTGTAGAGTGTGTTAGACGGAAATGATTAAGGACCCAAAGTAGCTTAGCTGATAGGAATTTAATCTTCATGCCAGATTAGATTCAGTGATATTCACATTATATCAATTTTATTTGGCAATAACCTTATACAGTAATAAGCCCTTCTCCTGATTTTCAGTCAAAAGTAATGTCTTAGCCTATGGGTCTGTTGCAAGATAAATTCTGTAAATGAAAGTCATAGTTCCCCAGGTTGTGGGAGGTGTGGGATCTCATAGTTTCCCTGGTAGTAGGAGGTGTGGGACCTTATAGTTTCCCTGGTAGTAGGAGGTGTGGGACCTTATAGTTTCCCTGGTAGTGGGAGGTGTGGGATCTCATAGTTTCCCTGGTAGTAGGAGGTGTGGGACCTTATAGTTCCCCAGGTAGTGGGAGGTGTGGGACCTCATAGTTTCCCTGGTAGTAGGAGGTGTGGGACCTTATAGTTTCCCTGGTAGTAGGAGGTGTGGGATCTCATAGTTTCCCTGTTAGTAGGAGGTGTGGGACCTTATAGTTTCCCTGGTAGTAGGAGGTGTGGGATCTCATAGTTTCCCTGGTAGTAGGAGGTGTGGGACCTTATAGTTTCCCTGGTAGTAGGAGGTGTGGGATCTCATAGTTTCCCTGGTAGTAGGAGGTGTGGGATCTCATAGTTTCCCTGGTAGTAGGAGGTGTGGGATCTCATAGTTTCCCTGTTAGTAGGAGGTGTGGGACCTTATAGTTTCCCTGGTAGTAGGAGGTGTGGGATCTCATAGTTTCCCTGGTAGTAGGAGGTGTGGGATCTCATAGTTTCCCTGGTAGTAGGAGGTGTGGGATCTCATAGTTTCCCTGGTAGTGGGAGGTGTGGGATCTCATAATTCCCCTTGTAGTGGGAATTGAGGGATCTCATAGTTTCTCGAGTAGTGGGAGATGTGGGCTGTCATAACTTCCCTGGTAGTAGGAGGTGTGGGACCTTATAGTTTCCCTGGTAGTGGGAGGTGTGGGCTCTCACAGTTTACCTTGTAATGGGAGATGTGGAATCTCATAGCTTCCCTGGTATGGTAGTGGGAGGTATGAGATCTCAAAGTTTCCCTGGTAGTGGGAGATGTGGAATCTCATTGTTCCCCTGGTAGTGGGAGGTGTCAGATCCACAAGGTCATAGTTCCCATGTTGTTAGTAATTGTGGGGTCCAATATGTGAAACAGTGAATTTCTTAATTGATCCTGAACTTATTTGTTCCTCTAGATTCTTAGGGTGAGACTAGATCTACATGCCTTAATCCAGCAACTCTGCCCTATCCTGCAATCTTCCCCATCCCAACCAATCAAGTACAGTACCAGGTACTAACTTCATGTGATAATTTGGAATAAAGAATCCCTTGGCTGTAGTTCTACAGGACAAAACAAAAGGGTACAAGAAGGATAAATGTTGATAGCAATAGCTGTTTTCTGAAGTAAAACATTTAAACCTAATTTATAGAGCATCTTTGGGTCAATGGGAGGTGAGTAGAGCCAGGATTCAGGGCAAATTGTCAAAACACGTACTGTATTTATTCTCCACTATGCCCAAATAGGCCACACGTAACCTATGACACATTGTTATGGTTGGGTTATTTCTGGGAGGTTCAATTGATTTTGTTTGCAATTCTGTTAAATGATAATATGTAGATTTATGTGGAATTATTAACAACCATCCCTTTATTACTGGGTAAAAATAGCAGTGAAAACTAAAGAAAATGAAAGTTGATTCAGAATTTTGGATCATTAATTGTAATTAATCTAAGCCTTTCATTTGCCATTGTGCTTCGTCTGTTGTTGTCCACCATGCGCCATCCACCATCCGCCATGCCCATCAGCCATCCGCCATCCACCATGCATTAACTTTTGACATTTCAAGCTTCATCTCAAGTTCCACCAGTGCGATTGAGCTCCAACTTGCATGAAATGATCCTGAAAAACATATTTTAGATTTCTCCACCAGTTCCACTGGCACCATTGAGCGATAAATTGGTAGATATGTTCAGGAAAGGTAGCCAACAAAGTGTTGTTATTTTTCAACCCTGTCAAAACTTCAACAGAGCAGCTAATCCTGGTTTTCCTGTGCAACACTTATTTCAAACTTCTTAAGTTTCACCAGTTGGATTGAGCTCCATCTTCATTGTCAAATAAAACATAACATTTGTTACAGTTACCTACTCCTCACTAAAACTACCATCTGCATCATGGAAAACAGCTTCTTAGTAAGATTTCATTCAAAATAGAAAAAAATAACTCTTCTCCCTGCTGAAAGTTTTTGTAGTCAGATGACTGTTAAGGCCCATGGGCCTCTTGTCTTGACTTATTATACATTTTCAATGTATTTTTATCCTACTGTGAAATCATATATTTTTATGGGACACAATTTTTGAAAAAAAAATTTTCATAGAAACTTGATTTCCCTGAGAAACATAGTTCAGTAAAACCATTTTACTAATTTTTTGAACAGTTTGTTCACCAATGAATTTATGGATAAAGGAATACCCACAAAATCAACTAAAATAAATTCTCAACGAATATTTTTACAGCTGTGGAATTCAGTCAAGACAAGGCAGGCTTTTCTGTCTCTTTATCAATGGGCTCACCACAGATACAGAGCAATTTAATACAGATGCAATTTAAGATGATGCATTATAAAAAAATTGGCAGAATGTGAGTTCGATAGTACAATAGCTGGTAATACAATCAGAATGTAAAAAAAGACACACAGATGAATAGCACTTTTACTACAAATTTAGAATAAGATCACAGTAGAGTCAATAATAAATAAAACTGCATCTTAAAGCCATCTTGTTATTGTAAGTGCATGACGCTAAGAGCCTAACTTTTGAAACCTAGAAAGGGACTGAGTGAAATTTAAAAAAATCAAATTGAATATCAAAGTGGGGTGGGGCAGCTACAACAGCTTTATGACAATTGTGTCATAATATATTTTTGGTTTTCATTACAGAAACAGAGCACGGACCATGTGTATGTGGAATATCCAGTCCGGTATACACCAAAAAAAACGGGTCTGGAACAGGAAGCAGCATTAGAAGCTGGTGCATCAGCTTCAGTTCAAGATCCACAGAACCCTCAGAACCATACTGGAATACCTGAACCTACTGAGGAAGATTACCAAGACTTTCTGGAATTGATTGATCACATGAGTGATGATGATGATGATGTAGATGTTGATAGTGAAGAAACCAATTTGAAGACTGAAGCATCTAGAAACATTCCCAGTCCTCAAAGTCCTGAAGTTCCAACCAAACTTAAAGGTATCACAATTGTTCTGTTTTTTTCTGGTAAGAAATTAAAGCCATGCTTAGTGATAAGCCCACATATATGTCTCCTGCATTTCAGTGGCATCATCAAAAAAGATTATTTTATTGTCTGACTTTGAGTTTGAGTTTATGTTTTGGACAAAGGGTTAACTGTGGTTGAATAGGGGACCTTGTGAAAGATGCAGATCCCTAAAGTAATCTGGTTATCTGGCTGTCTGTCCAACCTCACTCAAGTATACTTGTTGGTTACACTCAGTTAAAGGTCTCATGTACACTTGTAGTGTGAGTCATTTTTCATAAATCACTATTCCATTTAAATTTATTTCCTAGAGCAATGAAATAAATCTTCTTCAAATTTGGTTTCATCTACAATTCTGAATTGGACCTCAATGTATAAATGCTTTTTTTAGTGACAGAATGAGCAAAAAATTGATGAATTTGAAGAATTCAAATATGAATGGACAAAAGATTGCACACCACAAGTGAAGTTCTGTTGGGTCAATTGCACTCAAACTTTACCCAATGTTACATCAAAGGAAGTGCTTGTGTGGGAGTGATTTTGGATTCTGAGGTCAAAGGTCAAGGTCACTATGAACACCGATAGAGAAATTGATTTCTTCAAAATATCTTCAGTTCTGTTTGATTGATTCCGTTCAGACTTTCTCCATTACTTCTTCACCAGAAGTGAAAGCTTTCAATCTTTTCATCTTCAGAAGTCAAAAGTCAAGATGACCCTACAGAGGTGTCCAATTCGGAATTTTTTCCACTAGCCCAAGGGCTAGTGAACCATTTTTTCTTACTAGACCTGATCAAAACCATTACCCCTACTTTTGGAATTTTTCAATTAACTCTAAATGCTGTTTTATCTTTAATAGACCATTTTCTCAACAGAATTAATTACATCTGTGTTGTTCAATAAAGCATTAAACATATATGAGTTATACTGTTTGTCTAGTTTCTGTGCAATAAGTTGACAATTAACATGAAAGAAATTAATTGATATACATTGTACATGTATACCACAGGTAAAGCGAGTCACCCTGAACTTCTACTTCTTAGATGAGTGCAGTTTATTCTTTCTCATTTTGAGTGGGTAAACCTTAAGGCAGCAAATTATACATTGGATCTGAACTATTGGTGCTAATATCAATGAAATTGTTACTCTTCTATTTCTCATAGGGAAATATATGTATTTTTATTTATATATTTCCAATATTTGAAGTATAGAGCAGACAAAACTACTGAGAAAGGTATATTTCAGAAGACAATGTTGTAAACATCTGTCAAGTATACACATCTTGTGTGATGTAACACCTATCAAAGCAGTAGCACTAAGCATGAATGATCTTGTTTCAATTTCAACAGCACCAGAATTTTTTTAATTTATAATTTAGAACCATATATCCAACAATCAGTGACATGTTCACGTACTGTCCCTTAATATATAATAAAACAAATCCAAATTATCCCTGCATATCAGTAAACTAGCACTTACATCTGGGTCACTCCTAGGCTTGAATTCTTAAATCCATCTATGACATAACCAAGCATTTGATATGACTAGATGAAGGTATTCTTTATGTTTGAGAATCTTGATGGACCAATGGAAACCACCTGTGATTGTAAAATTTTAATACTCTGACCAATGTGTACAGAAACAGTTTGGCTTGTAACACAGATTACAGATAAATTTCACTAGCCCACTGGCTAGTCAGTGTCATGGAACATCTAGCCCTCACCTGATAATCACCAGCCCGGGTGTCCGGATAGTTGAATTGAACACCCTGCCCTACTATAAAGAGGATTGGAATAATAAAAATTACACCATAATGGAATATTATTGGTGAATATTATCTATGGCACAATACAGCATAACCGACTGAAACCAGATGAGAAGTCACCTGATCAAAGGCCAAATCACTGGGCTAAAGGTCAAGGTCAAATTTGAATTATCTTCCTGGCAGCTTTTTTGATATAATGAAACAATATTGACTGAAATCAAATGAGAAAATGGCCAATAACTTGTCAGGGTCATCATGTAAAAGGGGAACACTAATTATGATACATTTCAAGCACAAATATTAATGGTCAAATGTCAACGTCAAAGACATATTTTTTTACTAAATATCTTGTTATAACTAAATGAAATGTGATTAATTGAAATCAAATGAGAAGTCACCCAAATAAAGGTCAAGGTCACTAAGTCAAAGGTGAATGTCAAATTAAAATGTTTTGTTTATATTTCAAATGAGTTAATCTGATAAGATTATTTGCTAATTCTGAATAATTAAAATTTTTCCATAGAAATATCAGAATATCACAAACCTTAGTTGTTAAGCCTCAGTTGCCATAGTGAGAGAATAGACACAAGACTAAGGTGGTTCATACATGATGGTACTGATACCAATCAAAGAAATACATATTATTTATTAAAAAACAAAGCATTTATCCACCCTAAATCTACCAATTATTCAAAAGTACAATAAAAGTAAGGAGTTTTATTTTGCTGCTTTTTAATGTGGCAATTCCCATATTCTTGTTACATTCTTTAAGAAAATTGATTATCCAAGAATGTTTTATACTTTCAGATTATGTTCAAAGTGCCCAGGGGGCTGAGGGTGGTAGCTCAGTAACTGCTGATAAAGACAGTAGTGACAATGAAATGGATACGTCGGAGGATGATTTTGTTACCCCAGACTTCTGGTTGTCCAATAAACTTCCTCCAGTACCTCGGAGATCAGACTCGCACCAATTCCACACTTCTACTAGACCATTGTCAGAACAAATCCATGCTATGACATCATCTGTACCACCTTTACCAGCCAGAGGTAGATCTTACATAGAGAAAGGACCCACATTTATCAGTAGTGCTGTTGTAAATGTTGATTCTGATTTAAGAGCACCGCCTCGAAGAAAATACCAGGAAAGTAATTTACTGGTTAAAGGATTAAATAAAACTGCATCAAAATCAGTGAGTGAAGATAATGTTTCTGTGCGTTCTCCTCTTGTCACTTCTAATGCTGATGATATAGAGGACTTGGATGATGGGTATGATAATGTTGTCGAACTTAGGAAGTCAAATTCAGATAGTGCAGCCACTGACCCTTGGGTTCGCAGCTTGGAAAACAATGATGTAAACAGTAGAAAATCTACTCTAAAAGCATACGATGATGCACAGTTGTTTGTTCATTTGCCGAGTAAGGGTGATGATTATGAGGACAATTATAGTCTTAGCACGCCTACTCCAGAAGACAACTTCAACTTTGATTGTACACAAAAGCCTGCATCACACACTTCCTCAGGTGATGAGGAGAGTGTCCTTAAAGGTAACAAACCAGATTTAGATTCTGCTGCAACTGGTGTTAAACAGATGACTTTAGGTGGGAAAGATGAAAATTATAATTTATGTGATAAAAATGCTCATGGGAAAAGTGCTTCCCCAGATGAACTAATCGCTTCAAATCTTTATGACTTTGGTAAAAGTTATGTAGTCCAAGAACCTATCAATGTAAGGGCGGAAAACATCTATGACTTTGCCCGATCTGAGAACACCCTTGTCCACACTCCAATTCCCACCTCCTCACAGTCTAGTCAGCGGTCTAATATGGTTGTCCATCCACCAACATTTCCTACTTGTGGTCGGACAGAATTCAGTGAGTTTGACTCATTGTATTCCATTCCTAAGTCTGCCAAGCCTGTAGCTGGCCTTTCAACAGAGGAAGTATTGCGTCCTGTTCGACCACCAAGACGAGTTACTCCAGAATCTGCGCCAACTTTGTATTCAGCTCCACAGAAACGAACGTCAAAGTCTCATAGTAGTTCGTCCATGGCTGATGCTGAACCTCCTGTAGCCTTGTATTCTGTACCTCAGAAAAAAGCTTCAAAGTCTCACAGTAGCTCTTCCATGGAGAATTCATGTGAAAATTCAAAGTCTTCTACAACACCTAAGACGAAATCTATGGATTCCTTCCTAGCACCAAAACCTCCATCTCTGGATACTTTACCGAGCCAAAAACCCCCTTCATTAGAAAGGGTGACCTGTCCAGTGCCACCTTCTTTAGAAACTCTACATTCTCAAAAACAGACGTCTGTGACTTCACCTAATCGGCGTAGCCCAATTTCTATGCGACCATTGCCTTCATTACCAACAAACTTTGATAGTAGTAACGATATGCAAAATAAACTGCTCTCATCAACAAAAGCAGAAAGAGCAACTTCTCCATCGCATGATGGATTTACTTTTAATTTCGTACCTGATGCTGAAACCAACTCAAAAAGCAGCACAAGTTCTTCATCTGGATCTGGTGAATCAAAGGAGGAGGATGCTGAACCGGTTTATGAGGATGCAACTGGAAGGAATTCAAACCCTCCACTGCCTCCAAAGAGAAGTTTAAGAAGGAATGCGAACCGTTCTGTTAGTGTTTACATTCCAGGCAAATCAGGCGGCACACAAACTACGAGGCTAGATCCTCCACAGAGGTCGGAGTCTGTCGACGACCAAGCCATATCTCGTCCTACAGGTATGAGATTTTTCTTTGATCATCTAGCATGCTTGAAATATGATCATGTTCGGATGATGCAGTGATAATGTATTCATCTTTCACTTAACATGGTTGTATTCCCCAGGACATGAAAAGGTAATAAGGTCACCTAGCAAACTATTGGTTTTCCTTTGGATGATTGGTTCCCCCTATAGTAAGACCTATTGAGCACTTCCATCTGGGCCAACAAGATTGCTTAGTATAAGATGAACACATTGTTTCCCAATTAGTCAAATGGGGTCATGAGGAAGTTAAAGTAAGTCTGTGAAGGCCTGTTTATAATGCATCATCCTTCATAAGAATTTCCCTATTGCTGTTCCTGTTAGTAGACCAAAAAGTCTAGTGTATAGATGGAGGGCAAACATGTATTTCTGATAACTTTGATGATTTAGTTTGATTTTCACAAAATTTGTTTACATATTTCTGGTAATTAATATGAAGTGAGAGTGTGACCCTTTTTTTGGAGCAAAGAGGCTCTTGGGTAGGAAAACTTAGTGTAGTGAAATCTAGGGGAGTTATCTCCCTTACAGCCAGACATCTGATGATATAGCAAAATAGCAGATTTTAATTTCGGGGGAAAGTTTGTCAACCACATGAAGTAAACAGAAAATAGTTCCACAACAATATTATTGTCTTATTTTATTTTAGTAAGATCTTTATAAATGTTTTTATTTCCATTCACTTATTGCTTGACTTTTCTAGTTCATACAAAATGAGTTCATAAATTCAAAAAATTACTGCATTGTACAGAGATCAAGCTTCCTTTGCACCGAACTTGACATTTACCGAATTATAAACATAGATTTTTTTGGTAAGGCCAGACAGTGAATACACATCGGGAATGTAAATAATGATGAAGAAAATGGACAGTCTGTAAGAAATCTTATCAAGAGTGAAAATGATGTCCACAGACAGATAGATATTACTACATGTTCTGCTAGTTATCACATTTCCTCCTGGTAAGTAGAATGTGATATTAAGCGGGTTTCACTGATCATCTTCTGTTGTGGTTTTTTTCTTAGACAACACAGTTACAACTGTACTGTCTTTGGATGGCATGTATGGGCCTCCCATCAGTTGCTTAGTGAAGTAGCAACCAGCTACTACATTGTCTAAGGATAACATTGACTGTTGATAACAGATTGAAAGATATCAATCAGATAAAGAGGAAGAAGTCTATTTTAAAATTTCTTCATGAGATGCAAAGATGTAATCACATCACCTTACATGGTGTCACCTGATAAACATTCAAAGTTTTCAACTAATTTAAAGCCTGTGGTACTTTTCAGTGGGAAGGCAAATGTCCCTTACAGAAAGGCAGCAGATTCGACAGTCTTCAGCTGCCATTGTTGTAGTACCTTTAAAGCAGAGTCAAGTGGATTTGCTAAATGAAGAGCAAAAATTACATGGAGTAGGACTTGATATAAGTCCAAAATCAGCACATGCAATTGCACTTATTGAAATGTTCAATGGAGTCTGGTACGTATGTATAGGTCCATTCAACTACATAATATATTGATGTCACAATAGTTTCATGTCTAATAAGGCCAAGGAAAAAATATTTCTGTTGTCTGGTAACCCGACATCAGATTTTGAGGCAATTTTTTAAAGTGGCACTGTCTAAAGCAAAATCTCTTTCAATATTAACCACATAAAATTATTTGTTAAAATGACAAAATTTGCCTTTCTACATACCTGCCCTAAATGTTTTCCAAGATGTTATAGTAAATACATATGATTTTTTGGTTAGGCAGAAATGCTTGTCAGCTAAGCGAACCCCTCAACATTGAGTATTATATCTAAGCACCTTCAGTTCACTACAGGGTAAATACAATGCGAATGTAGGATGTATAATTGGAAGCATTTGATGGAGTTTCGTTTTCAACATCTGTTTTTTTTTTTTTTCTTTTTCACTGTATTGTTCAGTTTATCCCACAGTATAAATAGTACAGACTCCTGACTTTTTTGTTTTAATATTAATCATTTGTGCCAAATGTACAGGATTGCTGGCTGGGATGGACGTCGTTTTCCAAGACTTGCTGAAAAGATCCACATTGGGGACCAGTTGATATCAGTGGAAGATGTGAGAGTGACCAGTTCAGTCCAAGCATCTAAGTTATTGAAACAGACTCAATCTCAACGTGTCACTTTTGTGGTCAAACGTCTCCCTTATGCTACCATTTTGGCTATTCGTAGGAATCACGATAGGGAGAATCTCGGTATTACCAGAGAAGGAGGTACAGCAGAGGTAAGACATCTATAAGATAAATGTCTGTATGATAAACCATAGTTCTGGTGTGTGAGGTATGTCTGTATGATAAACCATAGTTCTGGTGTGTGAGGTATGTCTGTATGATAAACCATATTTCTGGTGTGTGAGGTATGTCTGTATGATAAACCATAGTTCTGGTGTGTTTGGTATTGTCTGTATGATAAGACCATAGTTCTGGTGTGTGAGGTATATCTGTATGATAAACCATAGTTCTGTTGTGTTTGGTATTGTCTGTATGATAAACCATAGGCCTGGTGTATGATGTATTGTCTGTATGATAAACCATAGTTCTGGTGTGTTTGGTTTTGTCTGTATGATAAACCATAGTTCTGGTGTGTGAGGTACAGTTTATACGGAATTGAGACCCAAGCTTCACCCAAAGATGTCTCAGCCCAGTTCTGAACAAAATACTGTCATGCCAAGAATTGAAGAAGATTTCCAAGATTTTTCCTCTTGTGTTCCACCCCATAGGCCCTTGAAGACCCAGACCCAACATTTATGCAAAATTTGTTTGCCTTCATGCAAGGATGCTTCTGACCAAATTTGTTAATAACACCTTCTTTTCTTTGGACTGGTGATATGAAAATTGCTACATGCTTTGGAAAAGAAAATAGAGGAGGTTTATTGAAGAGGGGTTGGGGAGGATATTTTAGAATGAAAACAGCTTATTTTGTATGATTGGTTTATGTTATATACATAGATCACCTATGTGGATCCGAATGGCCTTGTGGCTAGATGTGGTCTTCCAAAGCGAGCCAAGATGGTGGATGGCGTTGGTGAATGTAACTGGATGCTTACGGAAATAAATAGTAGATCACTCAACTTCACATATAAAGGGGAGGAGGTATGTCTGAAATTCTTGAAATATGGAAAGTTTTGATAAAAAAAAAAGAACAAAGTTTTGGATAGATTTTCTGGAATTATTTCGCCCCTTTTTTCGGAATTTAAAGATATTTTAAAGCTTTTTCTATATAACTACACTGTGTGAAATTCCCAGCCTGATAAAAACAGAAATGTCTTGATGTGGTGCACTAGTATACTTTAAAGGATCGATACTTGCTCTTCTGTCATTTTGTAGAAATAGCAGATTGCTGATTGATAGTTTCTTAATTTTTTAGGTAGGTTAAACATTTTGTAAATAATGCTAGCTGAGACGTAGTGTATTATGTGTATTATTTCTCTGTGGCTGAACATTATGACATAGTACAAAAGGCACACAAGTGAATAGCACCTTTTGATACAAATATAGAGCTAGATACAGCAGAGCCAAACAATGAATTAAACTGCATCGTACAGCTGTTTTGTCCTTCAAGGACTCGTCAGTGATGCTAAGAGCCTAAATGTTAAAGCCTAGGAGCTATACTGTACGAGGAGATATAGTGACATATTGTTCAGAATGCACACATATACTTAACATATTCTTCTGAAATTACCAAATTTAGGAAAATTAAGTAATTGATTGAAATACTGTGTAGTAGGTAATATTTGTGGGAGATTATATTTTATTCAGTCATCAAAGATAGCGTGAAATTAAATACTTAGCAAACATCTGACATCAACAAAATATAAGGAAATCTGTGTTTTATGACTGTTAACATGTATACCAATGTATAGACATGTGCAAAATTCAATAAATGTGAACTAGCACAAACTGGGACAACTGCAAAATATGAGGACGCAAAATGTGAGTCAGATATTGATTAAATGAAACAACAACACACTGTGTGCTGCTATAGCCCCTCCCTATCTAGATTTTGACATTTCTTTTGATCAATTTTAATCTTGTTTAGTTGCCTTTAAGGTTTTAAAATGGAGGCGTCTAGCATCACTGATAAGTCTAAGAAAAAAAACACAGGTGTATGGCACAGTTTAAATCATTGTTTGGCTCTTCTGCATTAAGTTCTAAATATGTAATGAAATGTGCTGTTCACCTGTGTGTCTTCTGTACAATCTTCTATAACCTTTTATGTATCAATAGCAATATATTTTTTTGGCAGATTGAGAGATTGCTGAATGCTGTTGGGAGAGACATCTCGATTGTAGTACAACCTGTGGACTTTGTGAAACAAATGAAAAAACAGCTAAAAAAACTGAAGAACTACAAAGATTATCTCTACTGATTCTTCAGACTTCCTCTACAAAACCTGACATTGCAGAACCAGGAATGAAATACATACAATAGCAACTAAAAAGTGGAAACTTCACAAAGATTGCATTTTAATTGTCTTCACACCATTTCTGATGTATATCAGTAAGATTCATGCAAGTTTTTTCAGGAAGAGATTGAAGAATTTTAACTACTGACTCTTTTTATTTATATTGAATCTTTGAGCTGTTTTTGGAATTAACTTTTATGAAAGACTTCCAGGAGTAACTGACAATCTTTCAGAAGTACAAAGATTATTCTCTGGTAGTGGTCATAGTTAAATCTACAATGGAAGTTTTAAGTTAAATGTTATGTGTTGCCATAGTCAATGAAATGTGAGATAGGTTTTGTTTAAATGTTGTCTTTGAAGGTAAGAAATTATTAGAAAAAAAAGCTATATGTGAGCGACTCATCAGTCATATACTATAGATTTTGATTTGTTATATTTGAAGTGTTAAATTTATGCAAAATGTTTAAAATGCATTGTTTTTATTGACAAGATATTACCCTGTCTATGCTTTATGATAAAAAGTATTGTCAGGGCTAGTGTTTCAATACTAATTGGCTTGAGTCACAAATATTACATTTAATTGTAATTAACTCATTGAAAGATAATGATTTGAAGTTAAAGGATTCATTTAGCATTTTCAAATAGAAATGAAATTCAGAATTTGAATTCATTTAAAAGAATCTATGTGGATCGGAACTACACAATGACCAGGCTTAAAAATTACAGTATTGTATCAAATCTTGTTCATGAATATTTTAAGCTGATCATGTGACCAGTCCAGATTATATGCTGGTTTTATATGCCCATCAAAGTTCTACAGGGTGTATTATTATATATATGGAATGGTTTGTAAAATGTAATTTCATCGTTTTGATTTTGCTTTTTATTAGATGTACAACATATTGTTTGTGACTTGATAAGGCAAGAAATTATTTGGAAATAAAAGTTAATGTGGAAATATTGTTTAGCATTGGTGAAACGTACATAATATACATTCTTCATACTATAAATCTCATGTTAATGATTTGCTTTAAAGAACCTAAAACTGTTTAACTAATATGGTGTTAAAATCGATTTTAGAAGTTAATCATATTCCGATAAATCTATGAGAAGCAGAATTATAAATTCTGGTTCCCAGATTTGAAGTTCATTTTGCAGGTTGACATCATAATCTACTTCCAATAAATACTTGTGACATGTAATGTTAAAACTGAATTCAACTTGAAAATTGTAGTTCAATATGGACAGTCATTACCCATGGATGGTGTGGTAATGTAAATTTGATTTGATTAATCTTATAGATGAAAGCCACAGAAACACAATATGATAAAACACAATATTATACATGTACAGTTTTGGAGACAATATCAAGATGCTTTAATAAATGTTTAATTGAAACCATGCTAATTAAAAAGCTTTAAATGTAGTTTTGATGTTCAATTAAAAATATATTTTTTATGAATCTTTGATATAGGAGAAAGGAATGTCCTAATTTTTGTTTTTGTATTGATTTTTTTTCTTGCTTTTTGTTCTTTAGTAAGCAGAAGCATAATATGTAGATATACTGTTCTTGTAAATCATCAGCTGTTTGGTTTTTTCAAAAATTTCGATTTTCACAGCCCTCTACATAAGAACAGCTTTATAGAGTACGATATATTCCAATGTTCAGTAAGTGCCTTGTGCATTTGAAAAATGAAGTGTTGAGGCACTTATCACAAATATTTATTGGAATCTGTTTCTTTCTTCTTACCTCAAGTTGGCAGGTTTGCCTGACCATGGCCATATGAAACCAAACATTCCAACTTAAATTTTTTCTGCTTTGTTGCTTTATCTCTCATTTTCCTGTCTTTACATCTAAACTTGCACCACTTGTTTTACTATCTATTTATCAAACATCTTAGCCAGCATTTAAAAAGCATATTTATTACAACATGTATACACCATCCAAATTCTGGTGGGTTTACTAAACCACAAATACTAATAATACCAAGAAACCAGGGAAGAAATTTTCCATTAATAATTTTGTTGATGTTGTTTATTGAGAAGTTGCCCTTTGAGATGTTTTCTTGGTTTCATCATTAAAAGCAAACCCAAATTAATGGTATAAAGAGATTTTTTACATACTTTTAAACCTTTAAAGCTGATACCATTTTTATTAAACATATAAACTATTACATTAACAAATTTCCTAATTAGAGAATTATGGTATCTTTACTCAAAGAATATCATATATCTTATTTCCGAAGGACAATGACAGTAAACTGAATATATAAAAAAAATACTTTGCTGTGATTTCTTTTGCTTAAATATTATCTAAGACTGGAATTAGTCTCATTATCATCACCTGTTTTGTAACATCCTCTCTCTGGACTAGGACTAAAGATAGTCTCATTATCATACCTGTTTTGTTTTCCTCTCGCTGAGCTAGGACTAAAGATAGTCTCATTATCATATCTGTTTTATATTGTCCTATCTCTGAACTAGGGATATCTATAGTCTTATTATCATACCTGTTTTGTTTTCCTCTCTCTGAGCTAGGGCTATCTATAGTCTCATTATCATATCTGTTTTGTATTGTCCTATCTCTGAACTAGGGCTATCTATAGTCTCATTATCATATCTGTTTTGTATTGTCCTTTCTCTGAACTAGGGCTATCTATAGTCTTATTATCATACCTGTTTTGTTTTCCTCTCTCTGAGCTAGGGCTATCTATAGTCTCATTATCATATCTGTTTTGTATTGTCCTATCTCTGAACTAGGGCTATCTATAGTCTCATTATCATATCTGTTTTGTATTGTCCTATCTCTGAACTAGGGCTATCTATAGTCTCATTATCATATCTGTTTTGTATTGTCCTTTCTCTGAACTAGGGATATCTATAGTCTTATTATCATACCTGTTTTGTATTGTCCTATCTCTGAACTAGGGCTATCTATAGTCTCATTATCATATCTGTTTTGTATTGTCCTATCTCTGAACTAGGGATATCTATAGTCTTATTATCATACCTGTTTTGTATTGTCCTATCTCTGAACTAGGGCTATCTATAGTCTCATTATCATATCTGTTTTGTATTGTCCTATCTCTGAACTAGGGATATCTATAGTCTCATTATCATACCTGTTTTGTTTTCCTCTATCTGAGCTAGGGCTATCTATAGTCTTATTATCATACCTGTTTTGTATTGTCCTATTTCTGAGCTAGGACTAACAATAGTATTATCACCATATCTGTTTTGTATTGTCCTCTCTCTGAGCTAGGACTGTGTAATTTTGTTCTCTATTGATTGTTATGATAGCCTGAATAGAAATAGAATTATGAGACTTGGCATTAGTTCAGAATTCATACAGGTTTTTAACTTTTTATCCCGTAATACAGAATTTCTGACTCCTGCTATGTGACTTCATAATTTCAAAACATTCCAAAATAATAACTCAGAACTTTTCTTAATCTTCATTTGTAGAATCCTACTTATAAACCCACTTAACATGAGAACTCTGTTTATATGTAGATCAAGTTAAAAACTGCATTAAAATAAACTGTTAATCTAAGTTGAGATCAGATCCATGGATTCTCTTTTGGATAACTTCAATATCACATTCTTTCTCATGGCTGCTCTTCTCCTCAAATTTTATTTGAATTTTCTAGATCAGCATGATTATCATGATTATGAAATATGTTTGGTATGAAATAGGGCCGTTATTTACATGCTGTATTTACATGAAATATTCCTTGTGTATATGAATTGGATTTGTAGAATTGATGCTTAACTTTAAATATCCTTTGATAAAGGTATTTTCTTTCTATGATAAAATGAAATATTACAGCCATTTGTATGCTTGGTTTCAGTGTTAAAAGGCATTCCTGATTGTATTCATGTTAGCTCTTAAGTGTTGAAACATTCCTTTTGTCCAAGGATGAATGGTTTTTTAAAAGAAAATGCTTATTGAAACACAAATACAGATGAAATTTTAAAACCAAAATAATGAATTGTTCATCTTTTACTTGATCCTTGTTCTTTTTTAAAATTGATATTGCTTATGTTGTCAATATCTGTGGAATGTAATGAAAATATGGGATGCAACATTCTTGTTGACAATCATGCATAATCTAACTGAATGTTTAGTATAACAAAATATTGTGAGTTATTGTGAGGAAAATGTACATAAGCATTTCATTTCAATTTGAATTGCAGAAAACTGTGTATGTACTTTAATTTTTTTCAATCTGTCTCAAACCGAATTTTGTCAAAGGATTACATTCTGGCAACACTAATGTTTTCTTTTGGCATATATAAGTGATATCACTGCCATTTGGATTTTAGGAACAGTTTTGCCTTTAGCTTTTATTGCTTGGAATGTTTATCTGATAAAACAATGTATCATGAATTTGTATTGGTGTGTAATGGAACATGCTATTAATTACAATTATCAAAAGTGTTTTCTTTTCATATTTAAAAGCAAATAACTTTCATTTATGAAATTATGATTTTTTTTTAAAAAATATCTCCATTATAGAAACATTCATTGTTGATTGGCAATAAATCGCTCTGTGAACCACAAATCAATTTACTGAGGCATTCATAGTAAATGCCTGAAGAAATTGTAGTTGTGATATTGTGGCAGTGTTATGCTAATGTAATTACATTGTATGCTGTGGCATTCATAGGTCATGTCATTCATAAACCTATGAATGCCTAAAGAATTTTGTGGCAGTAAATTTTTGACAGTGCCATGCTTATATAATTATGAAGATTATATAAATGACTGTATTACACATATTTTTTGTGTGTTATTACTTGACATAGCAGTATCTTGAGCTACCAGTATATGCCATATTGAATTTATAATTGGAGTGTCAGAGATACATAGAGCTTACAGTATTATTTACTAGAATATAAGATTATAATCTCCCATTGCAGATTGGCAATAGATAAAATACTTTTATAGAGTAAATTGAAAA